GAGACATCGCGGCCACGCTCTGTGAACAAGGAAATTTGAAGGTACATTAATAAGTGGTGTACATTAATAAGCTGCACATGCGATGCCCTGGGTCAGTGACCTGCCAACTTTGGTGAAATGCTGTACTTGGAGTGAACTTTGCTCATTATAATATCATTCTAATACTGAAACACACACCCCTCTCAAAAGTTACCCGCCTCCTAAGGTGTGACCACCCCTCAATGAGCTTGCGCACTGAATTTTTCCTAGTCTGGACCTTTAAACGTGAAGCGAGAGAATTTTGAACCAATCCTGATAAAGGTACGTATGACTAGAGTGAGTCACTCAAGCTCCACCTGCAAAGTAAAACACTATAAAATAGTGTGAAAAGAGCTGGATGTCAGGGAAGACACCACCACTCCTGACCTTTAGGATCCGCTAACGGGCTGACCCTCTCTCCCCCCATCATGGGATGCCTTTGGGTAAGATTCGAACACTCGGCTATCCCGAGTGGATCCACAGGAATTTTAGGAATCTCTAGAGTTGTTTCATCACCCACGCGTGTGTAACCCAACCATAATCGATGGTGCACTTGCTTGCAGAAAGTGAATTTATCACCGGCAATCCAAAGAACTTGTGCATCTGTTGCTTCAATAAATCGCACTATTGATTGACTCAGCCGTGTGTGTGTTGTCCCTGAACACGACTGCACCTCTGAGTGTCCGGCTGAGCAGGTAGTGTGATGTTAGTAGTGCATCCGGACCCATGATAGTCCAATGAAAAGGGGTTGGGCACGACCAGACTACTAACGCTGATTTTGGGCATCTGCCTCAATGCAACAAGTACCTCCGCCTTCTCCTCCTCCGTTGTTGCCAGCTTGCCAGTCTTGTTCATCCAAGGGGGTATGCTTTCTCTGACCTTCTTTTTCTGGCTGACATATCTGTAGAAGCTCTTATTATTCTTTGCATCCCTTGCCAAGTTCAGCTCCAGCCGCCCTTTGCCCTTCCTGACCCCATCCCTACAAAACCGGGCAGCATCCCTGTTGTCATCTCAGGATACCTGTCCCTGCTTCCACTGCCTGTGTATTCCCTTCTTGCCTTTTAGTTTGCCCAGCAGGTCTTGAGGTCATGACTCAGCCATGCCAGCCTCTTGCCTTCCTTTCCTGATTTCTTACACCTGGGGATTGAGAGCTCTTGCACTCTATGGAAAGCGTACTTAAAGATCTGACAGCTCTGTTCTGCTCTCTTGTCCCTGAGGGCCGTTTCCCAGGGGGTCCTATTGACTAACTTCCTGAAGAGCTGGCAGTTTGCTTTCCTAAAATTCAGGGTCCTGGCTGTACTCTTCGCCTGCCCCATATCCCTCAGGACTGTGAACTCCACCAGTGCATGACAGCTGCAGCCCAGGCTGCCTCCAATCTTAACGACGCCAATTAGCTCACATGCATTGATGACCAACAGGTCCAGCATCGCATCCCCTCTGGTGGGGCTGTCTATTACCTAGCACAGGAAGTTAACCTCCATGAAATCCCAGAGTCTCCTGGATTGCCTACAGCATGACATGCTACTTTCCAGCAGATGTCAGGGCGGTTGAAGTCCCCCAGCAGGACGAGAGCCTGTGAGCACAATGTCTCCCGTAGCTGGAGTAAGAAAGCTTCACCAACAGACTCCCCTTGATCAGGTGGCCTGTAGTAGGCACCGACCATGAGGTTCCCTTTGTTGCCTCAGTCCCCTATTCTTACCCATAAGCTTTTGACCAGTTTGTGGCTATCCCTCAGAGGCAGCTCTTCACACTCTATTCATTTCTTGATGTAGATGTCCAGTCTGGTGGGTAAGCCTATTTGGATATGGAAAATGGGGACAGTTGAGGCACTTGTGGTGTGAACCCTGGGTCTGATGCTGAGAGGATGGAGCACACAGAAGCACGTGCAATGTTCTGGAAATGCAGAGGGAGGTAAATGAGTAAAAATGACGTTCAGTGGTTGAGCTGGGGCTGTTCAGAAGTCACAGTGTGACAGCTGATGACCTTCCATGCTAGACCCCAGGGGAGCCACTGCTGGCATTTCTGTCGTGAGTTATGCCCTTGCAGCAGGGAGGAACTGATGCAGAGGGATGTTCATGTGGGGCCTCAGATGTCTTCCCCGGTGGTTTGTATCTCCCTGCTGATGCCCAGAGAGGAGGATGTCTGTGTTTCATCAAACATTGCAGCAGAGGAGCAAAGGGGGGCAAGAAACTCTGCTCAGGACAGCGTGTGACTGAACAATGCTGGCGCTCATGTGCCACAGAGGATGATCCTCAGCATGGCTCTGTCACCTGTCCTTGGCATATCAGAGGCTGTGACAGACCTCTGCAGGGAGAATGCTGCCATTCAGGCCTCAGCTCCAAAAAGTGCCGCTCGCTGGGCCTGGGGGGACAGTGGTCTCCCCCATGGGCAGTATGCTCTGGTCTGGGAATTGAGGTCCGGGTGAAGGATGTGTGTGAGGAGGGGAGCAGCCTGTGCACCATCGAGAATGAAAAAGAGGAGAGAGACAGGGTTTTTGCAGAGACCCCACAAAGGAAAAAACCCGATTGCCATGGAGCAGGGAGGGAGGGACAGCTAGAGACCACCCGAAGAAGCACTTCGGATAGTCCTGTCCAGGGGAAGGGTGGGGGCTTGTGGTGCAAGAAGAAAGCAGTGCTCTGGCAAGAGATGGAGGAGCAAGGGGTGCCAGGGCAGGATGGAAGGCGGCAGGCACACTCTGCAAAAGTCTAAAGGAGAAAAATCACTGCTGAAGCTCGGGGTTGAACCAGGGACCTTTAGATCTTCAGTCTAATGCTCTCCCACCTGAGCTACTTCAGCCCTGCCCTGGAAGCCTGTGTCCCAATTCCACCCCTGCCAGGCCACAGGCTGGCAGACATGAGGAGAACTCCTTAGGGATATTCCCAGGAAAAAGCTGTGCCCAGTTCTTGGCACAGTGGACCTGGCCTCTCCCTGCCTCCATGGCCAGGTGGGCTCCAGGTGTGGGGTGGGTGCCATCTTACAGTGGGAGTGCCAAGATATGTGTCGGGCCTTAATTACAAAGGTGATGGTGGTGGAGGCAAGTGAGCAGGCCAGGCATGTGCAGCTGCAAAGGCTGAGGGTGGACAAAGTGTGGGGTGGTGGAAGACCTCCCACAAGGAAGAAAGGGCCCACGTGAGGCAGAGCTTGTGCTGCTGCCATAGGCTTTTGCTTCATTCTTCCATGAAAACGAGTGTTTTGTTCAATGTTTGGAGACCATACTTAGGGGGAAAGAAGGCTTGAAAACCTCCAGGGATCGGGACTGCACAACCTCTCAGGGCAACCTCTTCCATTGCGTAAGTGGTCCTCATCTCCTGCCTGAACATTCTGTCAATTTTTGTCCCTTGCCTCTCATTTTCCCACCATGCACCACGATGAAGAGCCTGGCTCTATCTTCTTAACTGCCTGATAGGTACTGAAATGCTCCTATGAGGTTTCCTGATGCCGCCTTGGCTCCATATGAACAGTCTCTGTTCCCTCAGCTGTTCCTCAAGTGGAAAGTTCTCCAGCCCCCTGCACACCCCCACACACATCTGACTGTATTGGTGCCTCTTACCTGAACTTGCTCCAGCTGATAAATATCTTTCCTGTACTGGGGGCAGGAGGCCCCAAACTCAGCGCGGTACTGTGTGTGTGGTCTAGTGAGCATTGAATAGATGGGGAGAATCCCTCCCCACCACCTCCTGGCCGTGCTCCTGTTCATACAGTCAGGACCCTGTTGGCCTTCGTGGATGCCAGGCCTCACCACTGACTCATGTGCAGCTTCTTGTCCACGAAGACCCCAGGGCCTTTTCTGACGAGCAGCGCCCCAGCCAGGGCTGTTGCCTCGGGTTAGGCCACCCCAGGGTGGCATTCCTCCTCTCTGAAATACATTAGGTTCTTGTTGGCCCACTCTGCCAACCTGCCAAGGTTCATCCAGCAAGCAGCCCTCCAGTGTATACACTGGTCCCCAGCCTCAGTTCTGTGTCATCTGCAAACTCTGTCATCTCCTCCAGGACACTGATAAAATCATTAAGTCCCAGGAGAGACCCCAATGCATCCGATCACTCTCTTACTGACCTCTTTGCCCACCTATCAAGACTGTAGCTTCCTAACTTCAGTACAAGAATATTGTGGGAGACAGTGTGTGGTAGGTTGACCTTGGCTGGCTGCCAGATGCCCACCCAGCCACTCTCTCACTCCTCCTCCTCCTCAACAGTACAGAAGGAGAAAAAAAGGAAAAAACAGCTCATGGCTTGATCTAAAAGCAGGGTCATCAGTTCCCAGTTACTGTTATGAGCAAAACAGACTCAACATGGGGAAAATTCACTTACTTTATACTACCAGTCGAAATAGTTTTGGATAGTGAGAAGAAAAGATAAATGTTACAAAGGGCATTTCCCCTTTCCCCCTTTTTCCCAGGCTCAACTTCATTCCTTCATTGCTGACTCCTCTATCTCCTTTCCCTGTGAGTGGTAAAAGGGGGAATGGGGACTATGGTCAGTTCATAACAGTTCACCTCTGCTGCGCCTTCCTTACACTTTTCCTGCAGCATACTTCCCACAGGCTACAGTTCATTCAGGAAATATCCAACTTCTCTGGCATTTGATCCTCCACAGGCTGCAGGGAAATACCTGCTCCATTGTGGTCCCTCCACAGGCTGCAGGGGGATCTCTTCTGTGGCATCTGGAGCTCCTCCTCCCCTTCCTTCTTCACTGAACGTGGTGTTTGCAGGAGTTTTTCTCACTCACACTTTCTTCTTCCCTTACTCCTGTCCCACTCAGGCATATGTGTCCTTTCTTAAATATGCTTTCAGAGGGGTGCCACCAGCTTTGCTGATGGGCTTAGCTTTTGCCAGCAGTAGGCCTATTGCAGAGCTGGCTGGTTGTGGCTGTGGCTGGCATGGGGTGACCCATTGTCTTTTCTCACTGGGGCTCCAGCTGCCTCTTTTCTATCAAAAAGATGGACATGGAGACCAATAGAGCAAAAAGCTTGGCCTTGATAAATGACACTCCCTACTCCTCCATCATCGACAAAGCCAAACTATGCATTGGAGGGGAAGAGAAAGAAACAGAGAAGGCCTTGTCACTGTGCAAGCACTGCTCAGCCATAGCTAGAACAGTTAACACTGTTTTGGCCACCAATGCAAAACGTCGGATGAACCGCTATCAGGAAAGTTAACCCACCCAACCAGACCCAGTACAATCTGCACCCTTATTCCATAGAATTTCCATCATGCTCAGGTCCCACATTGACTAGTACACCTGAGTTTACACATTCAATATGTGCACAATCGCCCCGTTCCTATGTTGCTGCATTTCTACACCCTACTCAAACCTTTCCATTCACTCTTTCTCATTCCCAAATTCCCTTCTTACCAACATGTAAAACTTCTGCTACATACTTAAACCATCTTTACTTCCAACAGTCATGTTTATACATCCTCATTAACCACTCTATCCCCTGTTCCTTGACATACACTGATATTATTCACCCATTGCAGCTCCCCCACCCCCTGCAAGTGTCCATAAGACCAGCCAACGACTTCGGCCCCATGCATCAAGGTGATCACTCAGGACAGGTGAAGTACCGTGCTGGATCCTTGTGTGCCAAGACTGGACTGGATCACCATTGCACTCACCCCATTCCTCGTGAGGATTGCCCTCTGTTGGTTTGAGTGGTTCCTGCTGCCTTGCTTCCTAGAACATACAACTCACTTCACAGATCGTTCTCCCCTGAGGTTAGATCTCCTTGAGGTACAAAGTGGCTCTCCCATCCTTCTGCATTACCCACCAAGTACACCCAGGTCCTTGAGGGAAGATGATCTCACGAATGGGCTTGCTTTTTCCCAGGGAGGAGCAGCCCACACAGCCTTCCCCAGCCATCTCCCTGTGTGCACTATGGGGACCTTATCTCCTCCCACAGTATGTAAAGGCTTTGTTTGAACAGGACCAGGAGCGTTAGCAGATCCCCTAGTGCTTACCAGCTGAGTGGCTTCTGCTAAACTGATGACCCGTCCAATATGACACAGAGCAGAGTCACTGAGGCTTTGGCCTGTTCTCAGCATCCTTGGATGAACTCCTGCCTGACTCATGATGGGTAAGGGTTCAGTTTGTTCAAGTGACTCCTGACTTGACTCCCACCCACTTCTGGTTGCTCTCCATGGGTTCTGCCTCAAGGCACAAAAGCCTAGGAGACCTTGCTGATGAAGATTGGACCAAAGACAACACAGAGTATCTCAGACCTATTTATACCTGTTCTTGCTAAATTCTGCAGTGGCCCCACATTGCCCCACTTCAGTAGTAACAGCTCATCGTGATGCCATTGAATTTTCTTGAGAGTCAGCTGAATATCCACATGGGCCATTGCAGGAGTCTGTCCTTAAAGACTAGCTGTACTGAGCTCTGCTCAGCCCTCTGTACTTGTACTCTGCCCTTCGGCAGGGCAGCGTGCTACTCTGCCCTCCTCAGTGCTCTGCCCTTCAGTGGTCCTGCTCATAAGATCCCAACTCAAAGCCCCAGTATAAGCCACAGTGTACTCTTCTGAGGTCTTGCATCTGCACTTGTTACTATCCTTTTAACACTCTGCTCAGGAGCTGGGACCCACCCCTATTTCATGGTCACTACAACAGAGCCTGACTCTGGTTTTCACATCCCTGACCAGCTTTTCCGTGTTTGCAAGTGCCAGACACAAGAGAGCATCATGTTTGTTGGGCCACCTGGCAGCTGTGAGGGGATGTCTTCCCAAAAGCCTCCAGAAACCTCCTGAACTGTGATCCCCTGCCAGTGAAGGTCAGGGTCATTAAAGTTCTCTGTAAGACCTTGTGTCACTGATCCTGAGAAATCCACAGGTTGCTTAAAGGAGATGAGATATTGTCCATTTCCTTGCCCTGCCTGCAATTCCCTTATAGCCTGCCACAGTATCACCCTAAATGGCCTCTCCCCTGACCCTCACCCACAAGTGCTCAGCCAATCTGTTGCCCATCACATATTGGAGCTCCATACTTTCCAGCCACTCCATCAAACAGACAAGGAGTGTTTCCTAAAGAGCTTGTATCCATCCTGCACATTGCCCGAGTTGTGCAAACTGACCCAGCACACCTTGGCAGTTATTCCATCAGTGTCGCACCACTGTGATGGCACACAGGTCTCCAGCTCCTCCTGTCTGTGCCCAAAGCTGAGGGCATTCATGCACGTTTGGGCTGCAGCACCTCAGCTGT